AGGTGACGTCACTCTTAACAACCTACAGTGATTTGCTTAATGACTACAGCTGGAATTGATGCTGTACGTCTGGCATGGTAACATTTCATTTTACGACCATGACACATAGCAATGGAGTTGCCAGTCCCAATTGCGATCAGTAAATAAGGACTACCTGTATTTCATTGTCTTGGTTTCTGACATGAGTTTTAGGGTTAATTTACTGTCACATTTTCTAAATCATAGCCATGTTGTTACAATGGCTTTTTAAATGTGAAAAACTTTTGGAATTTGACGACCCTATGGAACCCTTTCCCTCATGTCTGTTTTCACGGGAAAGGGAGAAACAACACAACATATTGTGGAGCAAAGACAGAGAACATGATCCAGGGAGAACAAGAATGATCGGATCTAAGCAAAAAAGAGGGGACAACATCAGCATTATTAAGAAGGGGCACGATGTAAAAGGAATATATTGCAAACTAATCAGAGTATTAATTATATGGGGGTTTCAGTCTCTAAACAACTGAAAACTGATTTTTTTTCAAAGTTAACTGAGTTCTAACTTTGGAACTTCGTATATAGTAGTATATTTGAAGTCCAAGAAAATGTAGATTTGTGAAGCATCCACAACTTTTATCTTCTGTTGTCGTTTACAGAAGTATGCTATGAATATTTATTTTTACTACAGGTAATTAATATATCCTATACTCTGTATCAAAGTATGGAGCTTCTTTTGAATTTGAGAGGCTGTTTTTCAGTCAAATGCTTTACAATTTAAACACGCATTTAACTTAGTCTTAGCTGAGATATCACGTTCTTCCTTACAAGCTTTCCTAGTCCTTGGGGGAGACTTTTCTTTCAGTCCCACTACTTCAGAGGTATGTTTGGGAGACATATGACAAAAGGCCTTCTTAATAAGTGTTTCTATTCTTTGGAACTCTCTGCCAAAGGAAATCAGGCTAATCATTTGTCTTCTTCATAGTGGCTGGTAAAAAAGTTTTAATTCAAAGAGGCTTTGCTGTCCAAGTTGCTATGGGATGGTTATAATTTTGCCTGTCATTTTCATGCTTTTTTAAAAATCAAAGTAAAATCACAGGTATTATAGAAATGTATGTTAAATGATATATGATGTGATTGTAATCTATTACTTTATGCAAGACTCTGGGTATGACAATAATAATTTGCTACTTCCCATATGCCTGGCAAAAACAGACAGCAACAAGGAAAATTTTCTCCTTCCACACTATCCTAAAACTACAATTTAAAAAATATCAGGCGAATTCCAGGAACCAGAGCTGCTAGACCCTCACATAGGTGTTTTATTTTCAGCTTGTTCTATATATATGAATGACTGAAAGACATTACATTATCCTCCATTCCTATATGCAGGATAATGTAGAGCGGGGGCTTCCACAGCAAGCCAAGACTTCACCAAAATGACAAAGCATGTATTGAGTTGTTAGGGTGCAAGCTTAGCTCCCCGTGGATTTGTGGTGCTGCAGTGCAACTACAAAAGGGGAGGAGTTTGTGGGGGACACTTCATCACACATTTCACCATTCACCATCCCCCCAACATACATCTCAGTTACTTGAACATTGGGTAAAGTGCAATGGACATGGATTCATGCAAGTTGAAAATGAAGACATCTAGGATAAGTTACCTGGCATAACCAATGATTAGACTCCCAAAGACAGTGCCAATACCAGCACCAGAACCAGCCACTCCTACTGTGGCAGCACCCGCACCAATAAATTTGGCAGCGGTGTCAATGTCCCTGTTGAGAGCACTAGTTTGGAACTCTCTTAGTGCTAGTTGACTGCCAGCATTCTGCGAACCTGTAAGGAAAGTTGTATTGCCCTACAAAAAACAAAGAGAGAACTCCAAGGATTAATTTCAGTGTAGCAGCCAGATATTTGTATTACAAAATAAAGAAGCATTCTAGAAGAAGGAACAAAGGAAGCAACATTTTTAGAGGTAATCAAATTCAGGAAGTGCTTTTACTTTTTCTGGATTAAGTAGTCCAAAAGCCCTATCTAAAGTAAAGTCAGTATCCTTTTAAGAATAGTCACCATCATAGCTCTGATGACCATTAATTATTTCTATCTATATTAGTGTACAAAGAGCAGGATGCAATCTCGGATACCCAGAGTGCACAACTAGTGAGGGAATGCTACATTTCAGCATGTTGTTTTCAAATTTCCCTTTTGCTATTAGGAATCAATAAACCAGATTTTGCCACCTAATGTGCAGAGGTTTTAGAAGCAGCTTTAATGCTGAGCAACCAGAAAGCATGCAGAAGGTTCAAGAAATCTGGCTCTGACCAATATTGACCTGGAAACCAGTGAGGGTCTGGGAGAAATACAGTATTAATCTTAACATAAAAGATAAATTGTTTAGCACCGCTGCTTAGCCTATGCTCTATTCCATGTTCATTAATGCAACTAAATAGCTTAAAGGAAGGAAAGTTTACTGTTTCAGGGAGGGAACTGGGGGGGTAGGCAGAGAAGGTGGGCTGTAAAGGCTAGGCCAAATCTACAGCTTGGTACTTTACTGTGAATTATGATTACTAGGACAAGAACACATGGGCTCACCAGATAATTTAGGAAGCTACAGAATTGTTTAAGGTACCTCTCCAGTCCTGACTTCCGGCCTAGACAACACCGATGCAGAAATTGGTCTGTATAGGATCCTTGATCCAGTACGCATCTAAAGATCAGAGAAGATTAACATAATCAAGCTTCATAACAGAACTAAACAATCTTAGACTTAGAAAACATCAGGGACTTTTGGAATTAATTTGGTTCAGAATCGCAGAATAGCCATCTCATCTATAAAGAAAAACTCTCTAAGTCTTACAGTAGCCCCAAATCTTGTTACATATTTAACCCTTAACTGACTGACATGTTTTAATTGTTGAAAAGAGAACCGCTTGCTTGGGTTCAGTAGAATATTGCTTGTTCCTAATTCAGAAACGTATGTTTTTGAAAGAAAGGTTTTTGTTGAAACAAATATTGCCACTCTGTCCATAAAGTGCACCTGCTGATTATATGGGAATGTCCATGTTATTTTCCTATCAGCAATACAGAAGTAATTTACATTGCCTTCTTATACAACATTTAACTTCCCTTTCTAGCTGACATCTGTGATTTCCTGCTGGTCTCCCATCCAAGTACTAAACCAGCTGGACTCCACTCAACTTTTTTCAACATTAACCAGGGTCTGTAACCTGAGCTGCTATTTGTCTATGAAGATATATCAGTAATTGACTTCTGTACTATCCAGAGTGCCAGACATCTAACTGCCTGTTGAGGTGTCTTTCAGCATAACTTATTTATTTTAAATCATTAAATTACTCTTGGGAAAAATATGGTAGATTTATAGTCAGAACAGAATGAGAAATGATTTGGGCTGTGTGTGAAACAAACAAAATGCCCCCCCCAAAAAATAAAACCCACAACATGCTTCAAAAGTTCTGCCAAATTGTTTCAAGCATGCTAAAATTCAGTAGAACTGAATTCCAGAATATTTTGGTTATTCCAGGTTTTGGTTGAAACAAAATTTGCAGGGTCTTACAGAGCAAGTAGAACAAAGCTGGTGTTTCTTGCCCTCTTTCTTTTCCCCCTTGCATGGCCTGTGTGCCTTCCTTTCCTTACCTGCTGCTCATGTCCTTGTGTTTTTCCCACTCTCTCCACCCCCAGACCACTTCTGCCTAGATCATATACGTTTCGGACTGCCCATGAATCCCACAAAAATGTTTGTTCCCTGCACAAAAGAGGGCACAAAATGTTCTGCACCTTCCTAGAAAGGATCTTGTTCATCTTGGCTTCTGGCTTCCTCTCTAAAATTTCAAAGCAGCTGTGTGTTATAGATTTCAGTTTCTGTTGATCATGTTTGAAAACACCATCAAGAAACCCAGTACTTTTGTATGGCACTGATGACCTCCTACTGTCCAATATTCAATCAGAACAGTCTTCCCCATATGGTGCCCTTGAGCTGTGTTGGATTATAAATCATCTCTACCCTGCATTCTCACCACGACTGGCTGAGAATAAAGGGAATTGTTAACCAACCCATCTAAAAGACGCCAGATTGGGGAAACCTTTGTCAGCATGCTACTGGCTACGAAAAGACTACACGATTACTACAGGTGATGACCTTCAAATCACTCCAGGTCTTGAAACGTGCTTCTGCTCACCCGATCCTAAAACCATTTACACAAAGAGACAGCCCCATTCTGTTCTTTCAAGAGCACAGTCACTTGAAACCAAGCAGCGAAAAGTTTATTATTTAAAACAACCCCATCGTTGCAGGGCACCCCCGCTTCCCAGTCAAGTTTTTTCTCCCCTCGATTTCCCAGAAGATACAGCGCCCTCTAAATCCCAGGCACCGCTCACTTCCGACAAGCGGCCTGTCAACTGCAGGGAAGGCCTAATGAATGAATGAATGGGAAGGAACCGGGCCCAGCCGCCGCGGCCTGCCAGTGTCCTTGGGCAGCCAGTTCGCTCGCGAAGGTCACGCGGATTTCCACGTCGGCCTCTTTCCAAGACACAATCAGTGCCGGGGACTGGCAAGGCGAGACTTTTCACTGCCCGGCCGCGCGGACTGGATTCGTCCACCGCCAAGGGCGGCTTTACGCACGGCGGCGGGGAAATCAAGAGGGCGGCGAAGGGGCAAGATCGATGGCCGGGCCGCTGGCCGGCCAACCTGCCTGCCCTCTCCGATCCTCGCCCGCAACCCTTTACTGCGCCCCGGTTCCGGGAGGCCGGATCAGAAGGCCGGGCCGGCGCGAAGGCAGGCGGCAGGAAGGGCAGCGACCCACAGAGACCCAGGGACACCAACGCAGGGCTGCAGCCCAGCCTGCTGCAACTCACCAACGCGGGGGAGCCGGCGGCGAGCTTGACGCACGCGAACATGGCTGCTGCTAACGCTGCGGTGCTGGGAGAGCAGGGGCCTCTGGAGCTCCGCAGCTCCTGGGGATCC